TAACCCTTTAAATAGATAATTAGGGTTATTGTAAGATGCAACCTTTGAATTCATGTGAGGCCTTATATTTGTAAACCCTTATAATTTTGATAAGTTCTTGCCAATAGTTTGTTGGTAATGTTCAATCTCTCATTGAGTGGGAAATACATTGGGATTGAATATTTAAGGTTTATATTCTCTACTTTCTTGTTGAGTGATAGAGAACAAGGGAGTTTATCGCGCACCGTCGCTGCCGTTGTTCATCTCGGCTCGTCGTGTCTTCGACACATCCATGCGAAAACATCTTTTTAGAGTAAAATCGTACGAAATTTTTCTCTGAAAGAACAAATGAAAAACTGTGAATGAATTTATCTTATATTTATAAGATACCAAGTCTGTTCGAATTTTATATTTGCAAAGAGTAACAACTGAGATTAATTAGTTGTCTTTTAATTTCTGAAATTTAAAATTCAAGCAGTCAGTGTCTGAATTCAAATCTGTAAACGTTAGATGAACATAGACTAATATCAGACTATGTTCAGGACATTTTATAGAATGAATGCAAGAATTACAAAGCTTTATTGCATGAGTTACAAACAACTGGATCTAATCCACTTGCATTGTTTTTCTCAAAAATAATTTTTCTTGTTAACGAGATTCGAACTTAGGATCAACAAAGTCATGGGTCCAATGATCTAACCACTGCTCTATACCTATTTTTCTACTTCTTAATGGCAACAACCGATAGATATGCTCTATTTCGAGGCCCTGCGCCGTCGCGCACTCTGCGCTCTCTCAGCCACGCCCCTAGCAATACCACCAACAGTCCACTCTGGTTTTGGGTGTACGGAATTTAGAGCGACCGTACTAACCTCGGGGGCGATTCGCCTATTGGAGTGATTACACACATCGGGACGAATTCGTTTATAAGGTAGTGGTACCACAACACGGTTTTGGTTGATTCAAGTTATTTATTTTATTTTTTTCAAATTAGTGCTAACAGTGTAATTTTACAGTCAATATTACCAACATAGTTCACTTGTAGGATTTTTCATGCAAATTTGTTTGTCTCTTCTATTATGCGATTACTTATATTTACTTTTATCCTATAGTACAATATAAAAGGTTATTTTAAAGTTTAAAACATAAATATTCAAATGAAAGAAAATCAAATCTCCTCCATAGTCTAAATTTATATAAATGATTTGACAAATACATGATACTACTAGCTTAATGATCCACAGTTCCCACTCAAGAAAGGATGAACCTTAATAAACTTGGTAACTAGGGACTAGGCCTTATTATCCAGATTTTTATGCCAAAATTAAAAGGGAAACATGAATTTTCATAGCTTCAAGCAAAGTCTCATAGCATAAGCAGTAGGCTAGAATGCAAACGTTCATTTGCAGGAGCAAGTTAACTAGTGAAAGTCTAGTACCTGTTCTAGGCAGGGGATGTCAAAGATGCTTAGAGCATCAACTAGTAAAAGAATTAGATTTAACTACATGATACCTACTAGGCAATTCTCACTGTTTTAGCAGTAAACTCAGCTCAACTAGCAGGAGCATAGCATTAAATTGTTCTGACAGAGTAAATAAAAAAAGCCTGAAAAATTCAATTATTTCTGGGGATTATCAATAAGTCCCTACTAACCTGACCCAAGCAGGAAAGCAAGCAGCAATGTCCCTGTAGTGCGTAAGACACGCAGCAAATCGGCTCTAAAGAAGAGCAAAGGAATAGCCAAAGGTAGCAAAAAACCGCATGAAAAGTGAATAAGCCGGAGCTTCAAAGGGAATTATGCCCAGATTACTAGCTGCCAGCCCCACCAATGTGCTCACCAATGCCGCGCTCACCATACTTCCAATCTTCGTTTTATCGGACCATAGACCAAAAGCCCTGATGGCGAAGAGAGCAGACAACGTGCCCAATGGTCATCGGGAGAAATGATTGGGGATCTGAGCTGTGAACGAACCACCAAATCTCGGGACTTTGATATTGAAGATGACTTTTTGCGTAATGATAAGCTTAGGTTTGGAGCTTGGCGGCTAGTTGAAGCATTTACGAGGTTGTAGCGGGAAGAGGAGAGAGAGGGGATTGGTGGGGTTAGGAGAGATGATGATAAGGCTAAAGACTCCATTAATGGTGGATGATTTGAGGTAAGCGAGACCACCTTCCTGTTTTAGTGGTTTTTATTAATGTTTGTTTTGCTCGTCCGTTTGCAGGACGATGACATGATGTTTGTCAACATGACATTGGCCGGCAGTGATTCAATAGACTGCTATTCTTAAAAGGTTTAAATATTGCCAGGGTCCTTTCTAGTTCCGTGATTCGTGCTTCAATTTTGTGACATTTACTAAAATTTTATTTAAAATCTTAGTCCATTTAATAAATTTTATTAAAGAATATTCACAGAACAAATACAAAAAATGTAAAATAACTCTTCTATTAATTTTAGATATTGCCAGGGTCTTAATTTTAGACTAAGAGATTTAGCTTCATAATAGGCTTTTATAGGATCAAATTTAAAATAATACAAAAACATTTAACACATTTGAAATTTTCTTAAACATATTCTAAATACGAATTTTGTATTTTGAGGAAAAAAAACTATTTTTAAATTTTAGATTCTCACAACAGATCAAGTGAAAGAAAACATTTTATAAAACAATACATTTAGGTAAACTATATACATTTAGTACATAAACTATCAGTTTTGACTCATTTTAATACCTAAACTTTCAATTTTTTTAAAACCATACGTAATATTTAATTTTTGTTTCATTTTAATATCCTATTAACACATTTAGTACTTACACTATCCATTTTTAGTACCTAAACTTAAAAAAAAAATCAAAATTTAACATTAAATTTTGAACATAAATACTAAAATAAAACAAAAATTAATCTTTAGGTATATTTTTGAAAATATTGTAAGTTTAGGTGCTAAAACAGACCAAAACTGATAGTTTAAGTATTAGACATGTAATTTACCCTACATTTTCGAATGAGTTAAACTTGATCAATTAGTCAATCCGTTCAAGGCTCATCGATCGACACCAACACCAATCATTAAAATTCTGATTAACTTAATGGTGTTACCTTCTACCTTACGTTACGATAGTACATCAACCACAATCAACTAAACACCTTTGTATTGTGGAATCTGAGTTCAGATCATAAATCCAAATACATCTACTCACTTTTTTTACAACTTGAATCAAGACGAGCACATTTTGGGCACAAAAACACAACTGAATATTCATTAGAGAAAAAGACAATCTCTTGGGAAGTGCAGAAAGCTCTTTTTCTTTCTGAAGCTCGAGAACAATAAGAACAAGCACAACAATGTAGGGGAGCTACCTGATGGAGCACAAGGCCCCTCGAGATTAAGAAACAACATCTTTTTGTAGTGTTTTTCACATTATAGCGGAAATCAAATTTCATTTCTCAAAAAGCGAAATCCAAGCCGAGAAAAATGGAAAAGTAAGACAGGAATACAAATATACAATAAAACAGATAGGATCTCGAGATGCATTTTTACTTCAACGTGTTACAAAAGCTATACATAAACCAAAAGGTCCAAAACCTAGGATAGAAAATTTACCATAAAATGCACAAGGTTTTAGAAGATGATTGGAGTGCAGACACAAGTATCAAGCACTTCCAGAAATTCAAAGCGCCAGAATCCTGCAAATTCTAAATGGAGAAAACATCACATTACTATTCATTAATTTCATGCCACATACAAACACAGAGAGATATCTAGAAGACAAATTGCAAAAAGAAAATATATAGGCATCGAGTTAGAAATAGCACTAGGTTCTTAAAGAAACTTCAAGATTATGGTAACAGCGTAACGTGGAACCTCCCAGGATGAAGAAAAGTCTATAACTAGTTGTGTGTACTCTCTATCTAGATGTTGGAGACAATACAGCTAATTACTTAAACTATCAAAATTTCTATAAAAAAAAACTAACTATAAAAAAAAATCTCAAAAGAACTTGATTAAATAAATAGAAAATGAACAAATAAAATATCACAATCAAGATTTAACGTTTTTCATAGAATTTATTCTAGTTGTGTGTATTCTCTATCTAATTTACAAACAAAAGGGGGGAAACCTAATTTTCCGTCGTCTTTTTCAACAAAAACAAAAATTCAATTACCAATGTAAGACTAGAATCGCTTGAAATTACATTTTCTAAGAGAAGTACAAAATATAGCACTTAGAAAAATTCTAGGAAAGAACATGAATAACGATCGAAATAATCAAAGGAAAGCTGTAACTGATTCCAATACGAAATATGGTAATTCAATAACTCACAGGATCGATGAGAGTCGTGAGAGAACACTCTGAAACTGAGTATAAGGAGGCGCAACTTTCACAATTTGCTGGTTCTTTGCTTTGGTATGCCAATTACTGATTCGCCGGCATAGCTCCCCAGTCCCCAGCAGCAATAGAAAAAGGTCCGCTTTAACGCGGCGCCCTTGTTAATGTTGCTCACCCGTCCTAAACGACGCCGTATGTATACTTATATTAATGAATAAAAGATTGAATTTGGTTAGTTTATTATTAAATTGAATAATAATAAAATAACAGAAAAAATTTAAGTATTTCAAATTTAAATTGAATAACTCATAAATCTAATTGATTTTATTTTACTTACTGAAAAATTCAATTATAAACAACTTTTTAAGTACAAAACAATCGAAAGACATTTATGTTATAAGATTAAATGAGCTTATCGAATAAACTCGAAAAAATATTCTTTTATCTTGAATTAAGTTTAAGATATAAAAAAAACACAATACGATCAAACTTGAACCAAACTTCAAATATTAAATCTCGAGTAAAGCTCAAGCTTCTCAAGCGAATCCTTACCTAGGCAGATGATACGAATACTTGTGTGAGAATATTTGTAACGAGGCAGATTATATGAATACTTGTGTGAGTATAATCTGTAACAAGGTAGATGATATGAATACTTGTGTGAGTATAATCTGTAACAAGGTAGAAGATATGAATACTTGTGTATCTTCAAAATCATTCATGTTGGGGAAAACACTATCAAGAAATGAAGAGGTAAACACCAGGATATTGCAACAAGGTTCAATACTGAAAAGGCAACAAGAACAACCGACTGGCAGAGTGGCAGAGTCATCAAAGAAATATACATTGCCATTATTATAGACTAACGCGCAAAGATTCAAAATAGCAACAAAGGACTTGTCTAGCCCCTCAACATCCCGTTGAGGACACCTGTGTCCACCTCTGCAGTCTCTGTAATCTGGAGTGCCGAAACAGCCTGCGCTGCAATAAGACCAGCTGAAAGTCCTGCACTTCCCCAGCCTCCATCCTGAAAATATGGTGCAGCAAGATCCCTTCCATGGTCTCCATATGAGAAGGACCAAACACTGTTTCCGAACTCAGCCCATCCGTTTCCAGCTCTATACGCATCAGTGACCCAACCTTCACAGTTTGTGTGAACCCGATGGGGATGGCAAGGTTCCCCTCCACCCATAAATAGACCAATGTTGCTGGCATAATCCCAACAGTTGAAACCCTCTTCCTTGCGTAGCATAACCTTACACGAATCATCGGAGTCTTCACCAAGTAGGACATGCAAAGCGACAGCCTCAGCAATCGCAGCACCTTCCTCATCGAGCCTCTGCTGCTCTTCCTTCTTTTTCTGTTTCTTTTTTCCTAGTTCGGAGCAAATGGCAGCGGATGTAGCCAGGGCTTTCTCCAAGCGCCTCTTTTTCTTCTCAGCCTGTTTAATACGATCCAGCTCATCTTTCACCTGCTTCTTTTTTGCTTTTCTAACTACTGGTTGCACTTTATTGCACACCTTGTTATCCATGAAAACTTAAAAGCTTTTAAACACAGAATTCTGTTACCTTGGACTTTTTTCTCTTTAAAAAAGGTTCCCCAAAACGTATATTTTTCCCTATAAAACTGTTGTTTTTCCTTTTTATCACTAAAAAACTTCAGAAGCTACCTATTTCTAATTAATTCTCTTACTGAGAACTAATATAATTATACAACACCAAGACTACACCCACTCAGGTCTGTAGGAATATCTCATCTTACGGACAATGCAATCCCAAACAGAAACAACAGGGGAACATAGAAGAGCAGAACGGTAAGACTTTGTAGGTCCATCCTTCACCAGCATCCTTCCTAATTTCCCACAACCCTTGCATTTACCCATCTTGTACACACTGATAAAACCAATAAGCTTACCCCGTCAAGTCGATAATCGTATTCCAGTTCAAACAATTCACATCGCCTTTCCTACTGTAATAAAAGATGAACACCATTTGAGTCATTAAATCATAAAACCAAACTTCATTGCAAATTAAACTAACAAACATTCAGAGGCAAAGATGCAGATAATAATAAATATGGACAAAAATACAAAGATAATAAATTGGCATCTACAAGAATTAAAAGCTCAACCATAAAGTTTGATCAAAGAAATCAACAAATTTAACTTGAATAACTAAATAAAACCATCCGGCCATCACACCGTAATCAAGCAGAGATGGACATTTAGAATGAACTACACTAAGAGGTTCTTAGAGTCATGGCAACTTAAATATAAAAAGCTATGGAACCGTAGGAGTAGAAGCAATTCAATGGGAAATTAAAATGGAAAAGTAAGGCTAACATCAATAACATAATTCCAGAGATTCTAAGCAATCCTAGCAGTATCCGACTTAATTCTTCAAGTAAGGGATATGTAAAAGGAAATTCCCACTCGCTAAATCATCCGACAATTTAATTACAATAACCAAACGATATTACTTTTTTTTTATTGTTTACCATGCTATATATCGAATCTCAATTTCAGTTTTCCTTTCCTTTTTCACAACTTGCTAGCAAACCAAAGAGAAAAGCACCGGATCTGTCCTATAATTCAATTAAAAACCTAAATTCAGATTGAATTTGCAGTTCAATTATAGCCAACGTGATCCATTCGAACAAGATACCAAGAAAATCATATTTAACCGAAATAAATCAATTCAAAACATTAACCAGCATCAGATCCGAATGCCAGATAATCAAAACAACACAAATGGAGATACAAAATTCTAAAAAAAGAGAGTTCTCACCGCGAGAGAAGATTTAGATAAATCTAACCTAATAAACAATGTTTAAGGGGGAAAGGGTCTCCACTACTGCTTCTGGAATTGAAAGAAAACGGCAAGCCAAAAACGAAAGAATGGTAACGAAAGGTTCGCGTTTGGATCTTAAGATAATCAGAGAAAAGTCATAAAGGGATAGGATAAAATAAATTAATCGGCCATTAAAGTCCAGAGATTAAAGAAGATGTGAAGGTAGTTGTTGTCTCTTACCAATGGTATTTTAACACGTGGCCGTGACTTTGTGTTTGAGGTTAAATCTAGAATTCCCGACCTTTTCTGTTCGGTTGATTTTACTTTTTAGGATTGGTTTAACTATGGTGTCCGCACTGCCATGGATGATTTCAAGCCACGTGGCAAAAAACACGTGATGGATCGATATAGGCCCAAAAGGCCCAGATAATACTAATCGTCCGATTAGATTTCTACCGTTTCGACGGATGGGATTATAGATCAGAACTAATTCTGAATTTATGGTGAACTATCTCAATTTGTCACTTAAAGTAAGATTTATAGTGATTTTACCACTGAATTAAGGCATTGGGACGTTAAATCATTAATTTAATGATGATGTGGTCGTTTCTTCCTATGAACTTTAACTTATATATCAAATTTATCATTGAACTTTTAAAATATTTTAATTATAGACACTAAAGTAATCTGCATATCAATTTAGTTCCTAAAGAAATTCATCAACTCATCCGGTACCAAAACATTCATATTTTAAATCAGTAGTTGCAGATAAAGCAGTCCAGTTTTACATGAAAACCATAGGCTTTGGACTATGCAATGTCAGGATGGCTGCTTGTGATTTAGATTATGCTTTGCACAGCCTCTTTTGCAGTTCATGCAGCAATTTAGGGCCAACTGTATTTATGTTACCTGATTCATTTGATAAATAGAAGTGCATCTCAATTCGGATTAATTTTTTCATTTAAAAACAATCAATGTAGGGATCGGTTTACCTGCTCCGAGGGTCAAGATAACGGTTTCACGAAAAGGGTCCTTGCATATCTCGAGTGCTAGTTTATCGACCATGTCGTCCTGTAAACAGCCAACAAATTTAGGTAAGGCTAACAATTAGAACTCAATTTTCAGACGAGAGTAGCTGGGATGTTTTAAAACTATTACTAATTTAAAAGTTTTGCACTACCAGAGATGGAACGTATTCGGATGTAGGACCGACTATGAAGGTTGCTAAATCCTTTCCACAAACATTCCAAGGACCTGCTTCTCGAACGGAAAAAACCTGGCGTAACTAATCGTAATGTTAGTAAACCATGGAGATAGAAATTGCATCAATGGTGCATGAGGTACTTCAACCTGTACCTCTGTAATCACAACATGATCTGCAAAACTTAATGCAGCAGCAAAGTCGTCCTTGAATGCTGCTAGACGACTGAAAAACCGACCAAAATTCAGTCTTCTAAATGGTAAAAAGAATTAGGATATTCACCATTAATATTTTGTTCAAGTAAATGCCTGTATGTATGAGGCTGGAACACCGCTAACAGTCTCTTCGATGGGAATCTCTGCCGTGCTGCTTGAAGGACACAATATACTTCGGTTGGATGGTGTGCATAATCATCATATATTTGACATCCATGTATTTTTCCGATCATCTCAAAACGTCTAGAAAGGCCAATGAAATGGGGCAAATGTGTCTTCAAAGAGTTGATTAGTTCATGTACTTGTCTTTGGTCCTGTAAGAGTACCATAACCGTGGCTATAACCTGCGCAATACATAATGGTAATTAAACTAGTCAATGCTACATGGCTATGGAAACAGACAGAATCTTATGTGCAAAGAATCGAACTTTCCAATTTCAGCTTGAGATGAAAAAAAATCGAGATTCAGAGGAATATGCAGAAATTAACATAAAGCTTATATAATCCTACTGACAGAAGAGAATAATAATCGCAAGGTGAAATGAAATTTAAAATCAGCAGGCCTTTTTACTCACGGCTATTGAGTTGAGGACATTATGAACTCCTGGAATCTTTAGACTAATCTCTACTAATGGCTGTCCTCTATGACACTGTAATGGATCAAAGAATTCTGTAAAGTGGGAAACGATTTAAAAAGAAAAATACGGGGGTCTCAACCAAACAATTACAACAAAGAAACGTTCAAATGTCGAACACTTACAAGTACATAGTCACTGCCACCCTTTGAGTTGGGACAAATTGACGAAGCATGCCATTCATTAGTACTTGAAATTCCATACGTTATTATGTTATAACCGCATGTATATGAACCTGGAACTGACGTTGTATCATTTGCATACTCTGGTTTAGTCCCCTCACTAGTGTAATCTAGCAAGGAATATGCACCTGAACTGTTGGTTACCCTCCAAAGGAACTCCCTCAATTAGTATAACCCGACTAAATAAGAAACCACCTATAAACATTAATAACAGAAAACAATATGCTAGAAGGGAATGAGTCTTAAAAAACAACAATGGAAGTCGTCAAAGTATAGGATATGTGAAGTTTGGCAAAACATACTTATCTCCACATATAATGAGATGTCCACCCATTCTGATTCTTTTGAGGAACCTCCTAAAACAGGTTTTAACTGCTTCCTAATGGAAAAGAAAATATCATTCCAGGTCAAGCCCCAGTAACCAAAGGTTGTACAGAAAAGTTAACGTTCTCTGCAATTATTCGACAAAGAGTTCCAAACCTCATCTTGAAAAAAATCCACATGCTCCCACTCCACATTTGTTACAACGGCTATGTAAGGTGATAGCTCCAAGAAGCAGCCATCATATTCATCAGCCTGCCTCATAGTTAAATGGAATGTTACCATACAAGTTTAATATATCGGAGAATATGGAAATCCAACATCCTTATGCCTTATATTCCATAGAAAAGGGAAAGGAAGAAGTTATACAAAAGGAACATCAATCATTTTGATTGATTTGAAGGAATATTCAAGTACTGAATTGTGACCTTAAATTTTCACATTATATATATAAAATCAACTATTATGTTCAAGGTCTGTAAATCAGCCCTTGATTATTTTATAGGAAACAAACCCATCTATATAAGTACCACAAATGTTCATCCTGTTCCACCATACAGAGTATAATCTACCACAAAAATGAGAAACAGTCAAAGAATACCTCAAGCACAAAGTGCAGCCCATCACCCCGTATTGTATTTCCAGGAAACTGCAAAAATAGTTGGAACCCATTTGGAATAATGTTATAGACGAGGCAATAAACAGGGTAAAAAGGGTTAAATTGTAAGATAAACAGCATTAGCTAATCCGATTCAAATTTTGTACAACTTGTACTGTTGAAATGTTACCTGTGGGACGTAAGCTCCAACTACAGCTGTTAGATCATCTCCCATTGCTTTCAAAACATAAGCAAGTAAACTAGCCGTAGTACTCTTCCCTGAAATTAGTGAAAGAATATTTATGCTCATGGAAGAATGAAGAAGATGAATGAAATAAAGCTATCTTCACTATGCTTGTAAACACATATTTGTCAACATATCGATAGTATATGCAATGAAACGCCAAATGTAAAACTTAAGCAACAAAGCAAATTGAATGATAGTATAAAGATGAAGCATACCATTACGAATTACGATAACAGAACTAACGCAATTCCCAATATTAAAATACTTTACCGTGGGTTCCAGCGACAGCAATCAATTGTGATTCTCGGTGATCTTTGCTAACCAATAATCTCGTTTGTAACTGCGATAGGTCATCCATTAAAATCAACACGATGATATCAAAATGAACGAGTAACTAACTGGACGTAATTGGAGAATAAAAGTAAGTTAATTTAAGCTTAATACTCACACAGGTATTCCAAGGGATTTGGCAAGTAAAATCTCTACATTATCTTGACCAATAGCACTGGAAACAACAATGGCATTTGGGAATCTCAACCCATTTTCGCTCTCAATATTTAACGTAGAATGACCAACATGCAAGCGTACTCCAGCTTGCTGAAGCACATCCATGAAGCTGTTCCACTTCAAATCAGACCCACTTACCTCAAAACCCTAAAGATCAAATTAATTAAAACTCTTCTCATGGATACAAGTATCTGTTAGTTTCAGAACTCTGCAAAAGCTTACTTGTTTTACAGCCAACAAAGCTAGAGCCGACACCCCACAACCTCCAACACCTACGAAGTGAATCCAGTCTTTCTGGTTTAGATTCTTCAGTTGTACTAAGTCTAAGTTACAATCTTCCCCCCTTTTGGTTGCACGGATTGTTAGAAGTGAGATACGGCGATTCTCTTTCGAGGACAAGATGCATTTCTCCATCACAGAGCTTTTGTACCGTGAATCGGTTAAGTGAACGTGGATTTTTACTTTCTCCAGAAAAATCGGTTGAAAATAACGCGAACCGGTCGCCGACATCGCCTGAGTTTTCATCAAGTTTTAGTGCTGCAGTGGTTTTCCCGGGAAAGTGACGACTAACAAGGAGGGACTGGTTTGATCATTTAATTTCCTTATGCTCAGAAACGTGGGCCTAAATGTTTGATCATTTAATATTTTTGAATAACAATTTTAAAAAATAGTAAAAATTCATAAATCCTTTAAAAGTAATTAAAAATTTGTAATTATAGAAAATTCATAAAGTGATAGAGAAAAAATAATATTCGACCATTGAAGTTCAAAAACTAGAGAAGATGTGAAAGTTTGTTTTGTTGGGAAAATCGGGTTATTTCTCACAAGAAAGTAGTTTCAAAATTGACCTAAAATGTCAAGATCAAAACCGCCAAAGGTTGCACAGCGGATAAACCTGTCAAACTATTGAATATTGAAACACGATGAAAAGAATCGAATAAAAAACAATAAAGGAGAGAACACACCAAATTTATGAGGTGACGAGAATATCGTCTACTCCTCGGGCACCACACCGGATGATAACTTCACTATATCGCCAATATTACAACAAATGGAATTCTTTAGAATTCCCAGAGTGGGAGAATGAAGAATACAAGAGGAAGAGAGAACTTGTTTTTTGGGATGATTTCTAATGGAAATACTTAAGCCTATTTATAGTTGAGTTTCAAAAACAATATGTTCAAAGTTTGACCACCTAACAAAGATTTTTCCAATGTGTACAAGTTAGCCACCAAAT